TCCCCAAATACAAGTGGGTTCGGCTACAGGACAACAACTATCAGCTCGACCTAGCCGTCTTCAGGTGCCCTGACCCAGTCATCCCTATCATCTTTAAGGGGCACTACATCTGGCCAGCACTCACCAAAGCTATAACGGTCCCCGAAATCTACCTGCAACAGCTATGGGGGACCATGCACATGCCTTCCAAGAAGGACACATCCAGTATCAGTGCCACGCTCCACAACAGACGGCTAGCATTAACAGCGTCCACTCTACGAACCACACTGGAGCTGCCTGTCCACGAAACCTATGAACCGTTACCCTCAAAGGCTGAACTGATGCAAGGATTGGCGCAATTGGGATATGATGCACCGCTGCCGTTCCTGTCTCACTTCAAGCTGATGAACCTTCCATACCCATGGAAGACACTGTTTGGCCTCGTCAACAAATGTCTATCTCCGAAGCACGCTGGCCATGACAAGTGCAACCTGCAGATCTTCCAAATCTTCCATGGGATCGTTTTCGCCAAAAATTATGATATGGCGCAGCTATTCTGGATCGAGCTGGTGACTCAAGTCCAAGACAAAGAGGACGGAAAGACGGGCATGACGATTCCCTACGCCAGATGGTTGGCGCTCATCATCGCTGACTACATGACCGCCCACCCAGGGATTCCACAGCGCAGAGATGAAGACCAGTTCACTGCCCCCAAGCTCCAGTACTTCAAGCACTTCAAGCATGACACTGTGGGGATGACCATACCAGACTATCTGCTGGACTTGGGCAATCCACGACACTCCGCAGTAGTCCAATATAGAGAGAGTTTACTTGAAGATGGCCCCATGGTTCAGCCAAACCCAGCTGGACCTGCCCCGGGGCCTAATCCGAGAGCAAGTAAGGGTCCAAAGAGAGCCCATAAGCCACAGAAACCAGTGGCGCGTGTGCCCCATGAAGGGAAGTCTGACGATTCTCTCGAGAGGAATCAGACGGCTGAGGGCACACGTACAAACGCTGCGGAACCTGCCGATGAATCGTCCAGCCCGGCCCATAAAAAGGCTGACGATGAGGCATCCAATAGCGTGGCCAAAGATGATGACGATGCTGACGATGATGATGACGGCGACGACATTGACGACGTGGAGCACACCTTTGCTCTGATCCAAAAGGGGAAGTTGCCACTTGATTCTCCTCCAAAGAAAGTCACCCCTGAGGATGCAGCTCCATTTATAGTTGTTCGCCCCAAGACCATCGTCATCAAACCAGTGAAGGAGCCAGTTACAGCTAAGATTGCTGCTCCCCGTTCACCTAAGGCAAAGAAGCAGCGTCCTGTCAGAAAGAGTTTGGTCGCTGAAGAGGACCTACACATCTTTGACGATTGTCTTCCCTTCATCACTATAAGCCGGGCCGAATGTTTAAGTACAGGGGCCAATCTTGTTGGTCCCCGAGTAGAAGCCGCAGCATCAGGCTCAACTGCGCATGCACCGCCCTCTTTTTTTTTTGGGGTGAAATGTAAGTATATAAAAAAGACACCCAAGAGAAAGGGGGGGTTACAAGAATGTACAAACAAGGAAAGGGAAAACAAAACTGTAGGTTATCCATCAATGATAACCCTTCCCAAAACCAAGCAACAACCTGCTCCAAAGCAGCTAACACCAACCAAAACAGCCGTGGTGCAGCAACAAAACAGGCTAAAAACAGCCGGCAAAACAACAACACCAATCACCAAAACAAAGTGATGGTCAGAACAAGGAAAGCAACACTTAAAGGATTACATTTTCATAAGGATAGAGGCTATAAAGGATCTTATAGGTGATATACTGGATCCTAGCAAAAATATCATCTTCCTTTGGCAGCAAACCATCAAAACAGGTAGCGTTCCGAGTCCTCCAAATCCAATAAATGGAAAAGCAAAAAGCAATCCTAGCTGCCTTAGCTCTGATCCCCGATCCTTGCCTTTCCTTCTTGATCCATTTGAGTGAGCTATGCATGGTCCTCATCTCTCTTGGGATTCCCAGCCACGTTGTCACCTTACGCCACACTTCACCTGAAAAAGGGCAAGCAAAAAATAGGTGTGGTGCAGATTCGGGACCACCCTTACACAAAGGACATATGTTAACCACATTTAATCTATGAAAATTATCAAAAGTAGCAAGGCGATTACGGAAAGCTAACCAAACCGTGAAAGAGAACTTTGGGGGGATATAATGCTTCCAAATGAAAGGCATCCAAACCCGCCTTTACTCTAATCAAATCATACACCTTGGCCGAGATCAACTTCCCATCAACTTGAAGTCCATTAAGATGATTAATGGCAGTTTGAGTGCTATCAAAATGTGAGAGGATCTGATCCCTAATAAGTGCAATCTTCTTTATCAATTGGGAGTCCCTTTTATGAGGTGTGAACTCCCAAACACCTCTGCCATTAAGGTACACCCCATGGACCCAATGAACCCAAAGATTATCCTTCTTAACATGGATGTCCCAAAGGGTTTTAGCTAAAAGCGCAGAATTCCAGACATGGGTGTCATGAATACCAAGCCCACCTTCCTCCAAAGGGAGGCACATATCAGCCCAGGCAACCCTAGCATACTTGCACCCCCAAAGGAAAATACGACAGATAGAAGTGATTCTATCAAGTACTGCCTTAGGAATAGGGAGTGCTTGTAGCCAAAAGGATTGGACACCCTGAATGACAGACTTGATAAGCTCAACTCTCCCAGCATAGGAAAGGCTTTTAGTATTCCAAGCATTGATAAAGTTGGTAATAGAGTCTAGCAATGGGGCATATTGTGCCACATCAATTTTTAAAGGGGCAAGAGGAATGCCCAGATATCTCACAGGAAAAGTTCCCTCCTTAAAATCAATCATATGAAGGATGTAATTAATGTCATAATCAGCTAGGCCACCAAGGAAAATACTGGACTTTTCAGAGTTAACTTGAAGGCCAGAAACCTTTCCAAATTCATCCAAAGTATCAACAAGAACTTTTATAGAGGGGTAGTCCCCTTTAGAAAAGAGCATCAAATCATCAGCGTAGGCCACATGAGAAATATTAAGTTTACCACACTTGGGGTGGAACTTAAAAGTAGGGGCCTTGGTTCTAACATGGAGGAGTCTAGAAAAGTATTCAAGGCAGATCACAAAGAGGAGGGGGGACATGGGGTCCCCTTGCCGCAGCCCCCTCTTTCCTTTGATGTTCCCGTGAAGGATCCCATTAATAGAGATAGAAAAGGAAGGTGTTGAAACACATTCCATAATCCACTTAACAAATCTGTTTGGGAAACCAATGGTTAAAAGCACATCATTCAGAAAGTCCCAAGATATGGTATCATAAGCTTTTCTAAGATCCACCTTGATCATTGATCTAGGAGACATATGCTTCCTAGAATACCCTTTAATAAGTTCTTGGGCCAAGAAAACATTATCAAGCATTAATCTCCCATTAACAAATGCCCCTTGGGCAGGATCAATAAGCTCAGGCAGACAAGGGATCATTCTAGAAGCAATGATCTTGGTGATGGTTTTGTAGATCACATTAGTGCAAGCAATAGGCCTAAAGTCAGCCGCAGTGGGGTCATGAGAGGTCTTAGGAATAAGAGAAATAACCGTATGGTTTATCTGCTTGAGAAGTTTACCGGAGTTGAAAAAACCTCTCACAGCTAAAGTAACATCATGACCCACATCATTCCAATTGTGTTTAAAGAAGGCCGAAGTATAGCCATCAGGCCCGGGGGATTTATTGTCCCCAATATCAAAAATGGCATCTTTGATCTCATTATCAGAAATGGGATTCATAATCTCATTAGCTTTAGTATTATCCAAGCATTTCCCAGAAAGGATAATGTCAGGGTCGATAGCCATATTAGGATAGGAAGAGCCAAACAAATCAGTGTAGAACCTAACAAATTCACAAGCAACATGGTTCAAGGAAGTGGTGGAATCACCATTTTCTAGTTTAATAGAAGTAATGGAGTTTTTTGCCACATTCTTCTTGACAATAGAATGGAAGTATTTGGTGCCACGGTCACTATGCAAAAGATGGTAGGCCTTAGCCTTTTGTCTAAAGAAATCCTCTTCAGCTCTTTTGAAATAGAGTGCACTCTTCTTGGCCATAGCTACCTCACGTTTAATAGATTCATCAAGAGGGGAAAGAAGTAAGAGAGCGTGGACCCTCTTATATTCTTTCTTAGCCTCTTTAGCCCTTTCGGAAATGTGGCTAAAAGCATTGTAGTTAAGCTCTTTCAAAGGCTGTTTAAGCCTTTTGAGCTTACGTACAAGTCTAAATTGGGGAGTACCATAGATGTCTTGGTGCCAGGAAGAGGTAAGGATGCTATTAAAAGCCTCATGCTTCAGCCACATGTTAAAAAACTTGAAGTGTGACACTCTAAAAAAAAAGAAGAAAATGTTTTGATTATAATAATAATTTTTATTAGTCAGATAAAATGTTACGGAAATGACATTTTAATTATTAAGCGAGTCAAACAAAAATTCAACAGTCGTGATATTCTAGTTAGATAAAATTTCAAAAATATATGATGTTTCAGTCAGATAAAAATATTTCAATAATAGAAACAACATTTTATTAAATCAGTAAACTAGACAAAAAGCAAATATTTGTGACACGTTTAGTCTGATAAAAATGGTCCGATAATAGAAGCGACAGCTTAATTGATGAAATAAAATGTTGATTAAGATGCCGGTTAATTTTGGGCGTACAAATTTTACTGATTTGTTACAATACTAATTGACGTAGTTCAAATAACTCAATAGCTGGTGAAACATTTTATTTCACACATAAGAGTTAAAATTTATAGAATCTTTTAGTACATAAAATGTACATGAGACTTTTAGCCAGCCATGCTTAAAGTTAAAAAAAAAAGGATAGTGTTTACCAATACGACAGCTGGTCGCATATTATATGGAAGTAAAGAAATTGTTAAGAGCAACAATAAGGGAATCTTTGACTATCCATACTTAAAATATTAACACGTGATTTCAACGCCTCTCGTATCAAAAGCTCAACCACCGGAAGTAAAGGAAAGAGACTGTGTAACGTATTCGCACGCTCAATGAGCTGCGTTTATCACTGGCTAACAACATGGAAACAGCAATAATCCTTACCATGTTAAACGTCCAGCTGTGAACGAAAACGGTAGGAAGATACGCTATGCTATAACCATTCCACTCGTATATATATAATGCATGGGAGCCACGACCTGCGTACACACCATGAAAGAGAGAAATGAAAAGAGAGTAAGTGAGAGAGAGATTAGAGAGGAAGAGAGGGCGTCGTTTTCGGATATAAAAAAATACACCTATTATCAAGTCGGGATTGCCAGGCCGTTTTCTCGCCGGAGAAGAGGAAACGCCGGACTGTTTGATGACAAGGCTAAATCATCGCTGCCGGATCGAGTTGCGGCCGCCAAACGTTGCTGTCGTGACGCCGTTTCGATAGGGAGAATTGGAGGAAGACCGCCTGGACTGGTGAAGCTCTCCGTTGGTTATCCTTTTTTCGTCGGTGGTTCTAACTCGGGAAGCAACATAACCGTAAGTAGCTTCTAACTCCGTAGTATGTTAGTTATTTTGGACTGGCTCCTTTATTTAAAAATAGTTGGGCGGGATAATAATGATGATGATGATGATGATGATGATGATGATGATGATGATGATGATGATGATGATGATGATGATGATGATGATGATGATGATGATAAAATTGATAAATTTTTGGATGAGAAGTATTAGTGATGAATTTAGCTAGGTTAATTGGTGGTAATCACTTGGATAAAGTTGTTAATTTTTTTTATAGTTAAAATGATTGCATAATGTTAAATAATAAAGTGAGTTGGTAAATGAATATTACGTTAAAATGATAATTTATTAGGACTTAGTGTCGTAATTATATTAAATAAAATTGGATAGATATTACTTTCACTAACTATTGGATTAATTGAAGTAGACTAATAAAATTAACATAATTATGGACTCGGAAATAGTAAGTGTTTGAGTAAGTAATAAAATCAGACGAACTTAATGATGATTAGTTAATTTAAATAATTTTTAACGTATTCAGATTTTCTAATTGTAATAATGTCAATTAAATAAAGGTAATTATGAAATTCGATTATTAAATACAATTCAAATTTTTTTATATATTGGGTTAATAATATAGGTGTTAATATTAAAGAGATTGTGACGAACTGAGATTAGTTAATTATTTAATACTTTTTTCGGACTTGATTAAAAGTAATGAAGAGTTATTGTGTTAATTACCGATTTAGTTTAAGAATAGTTTAAATAATATGAGATAGATATTACGTACGAAAATAAACTATAATGAAAGTAACTCGAATATGCTGCAATTCTATTGTTTTAATAATATTAAATTATAGTTAATTAATTGAATTTAGAATAAATTATGGCTGGAGTAATAAAATAAAAAAATGATTAAAGGATAAAAGAATTTCGAATAATTAATTAATTAATTAATAAAATTAAAAGAGGAAAAAATTGAATTATTAAAGAAGAGTAAGTGACTGATTATAGTATCTTAATTAAAAAGGTGATTATTTAGAGACCGGAGTAGAAGAAGAGAATTAGGAGCACCCGGACTAGAGGTAAGTTTCTCTGCCAATCCAAAAATCGTTTCCTCGTATTATATATGTATTATGCGATACGTGATTTTAAGTGTGAAGTATGACTTTTATGCATGTGATTCTGAGATGATTCGTGAAACTAAGTGCTTTTGGGGGTAAATATTTTATCTAAATATTTTTAAAGCAGTTTGAGAAGTTGAGAACTATTTTGAAGTATATTAATTCCAGATAAAAGAATGATTTCATAAGAGGTGAGCATCACGGGAGAAATCCGTGGTGTCGGTTTTCCACGTCCGGATAAATGTGGAGGGTGATTAGGTCTGCTACTACTAAGAAGTACAGTTTGAGTTTAAAGTGATATTTGGATCGATGATCCCTTTTAAGAAGAAGTTATGGTAGTAGTCCCTAATCATTCAAGATATCTTATTCAGGGGTAGTTGGTAGACTGAGTCCCGACTACTCGTTACGACTTACTACTCGGAGGGCTTGGAATCCCTTTTAGGGGGTGTGCACACTTAAGGTAGTCGTTCCGTTTCCAACAGAGCAGTTGTGGTACCGGCACTTGTTCGGGGTGGCCGTCCGTAACCACGGTCCACCGGGCTCTACCGAAAGGTTGAGCACCGCCCTTCTAAATTACTAGGAAGTTAGAGAAGAAGTGATTTTTGAGGAAATCAAAGAGAAGAGTTATTATGAAGTTTTAAAGAGAAGTTGAGGATTTTTGTAAAGAAGTAGTTTTGAGAAAAATCAAAGTGAAAAGAATTTCGATGGTGTGAGTATTTTTATATATTATTATATAAAGATCTATTTTAGTCAAACATGATTATTTTACGGGGTTGGGTAGTACTTACTTAGCTCTAAAGCTAATTTTTGTTTTCTTTTCCTTGTTTTGTTTCTGCACTTTATTTGTGCAGGTGAGGATGATTTTGTCGATTGATGATTGCTTGCATGGCCCGAGAGCGAATTAGTAGTCGCCTTAGTTATACTAGTCATGAAATAAACATTTACTTTACAAACACTTTATTTTTATTAAATTAGTTGTTATGTTTTAGTTGCCTGTGCATCCGGTTGAGAGATGACCGGATGTGGCGGTAACACCCATTTCCTATTTTAGACTTTCGCTGTATTTCTTTAACTCTTTGATGAATGAATAAAGTATTTCTTTTAAATATATCATTGTTTTTGGGCGGGAAATTTGGGGGTGTTACATGAAGGGCCTAGACCCATCAATAGAGTTATGCCCAATAGTAGTAAGCACAACACAATGGTCAAACTCAACTTCCATCTCAAAGAAGTGAGTATTACAAGTAATGTTGTGAGTAGCCCACAAAGAGTTTATGAGAGCTCTATCCAGTTTAGCCCAGAGCGAGCCTCTATTCCAAGTAAGAAATTCCCCAGTGGAAGGAGAATCCACAAGATTAGCTTGGATTTTGAAATCATTTAAGTGTTGTATGTAGTAGGCCGAAGGAGGGGTGGGCCCAATCCTCTCATTAGGACTGCCCACACAGTTAAAGTCACCCATAACAAGCCAAGGAGAGTTAATATTGGGACCAAGATTAGCAATATGTTCCCAAAGGTCTCTTCTCTCCACAACCGTGTAGAGAGCATAGATAAAAGTCACAAAGAATCTGTTTTGGGTGACCTTACAGACCATCTCACAATGGAGATGTTGCGTGTCAATCTCCAAGACATTAAGGTTCACAAAAGAGGGGTCCCAAAGGAGGGCCATTCTGCCCCCATCAATCCTGTCAAAGTTGGTCATAGAGTGCCAATTAGGCCCCCTATTGGACATCATATTGTCAAAGTTAGGAGTGGCCATCTTAGTCTCAAGTAAACAAATGACATGCACATTATGGGATCGCACAAAAGAGAGGATGTTATTTTGTTTGGAGGCCTTGTTAAGGCCTCTCACATTCCAAGAGGAGACAAACATAAAAACAATTATGTATTTCTTCTCCCCTCTCCTCTCTTAAGTTTCTCATTTTGTCTCGTTTTTAGCCACACTTTAGGCCGTGGCTTATATCTGTCCAAGAATAGAAAATAAACATTCTCCATAAAGGTATGGGAGACCATATAACCTTTGTCCAAATGATACATCTCGGGAAGAGATTTCAAGCAATCATTAGTGAAATTGATGCCCACACTCATAGTATCGGTGATAACCTCCAAATAATTATCAAGTCTAGTTATATCTTCTTTAACATCTCCAAGATGTTTAAGATAAATATCTGGAGCCTTATCTTTATGCAAGTCAACTTTAACAATCACATCATCAAGAAAAGCATCACGAATATCATTAACAATTCTAGTATCGTTAGGAGTATGGTTCCTTTGGTCTTTAACTTTAAAGCCGTTGCCTTGAAGACAACCATTCTCATAATACCTGTTAAGGTAATGTCTATAGACCCCTTTCATAAATTTTGGAGAGTAAACATAGTCCTTCTCAATAAGCTTTACTCCGGGAAGACTTTCCAAACATTGTTTGGTAAAAATCAGTCCGGATTCTTTGTCATCAACAATACGAAGGTTTTGATTAAGCTTAACCGTAGGTAAATCAACCTCGGTATGATGCTTGAGTTTGATGATGGGGTTTGGAACCTCATCAGGTACCATATCCACCACAACCTCATCGGTATAGGAATCAATAAGGGTTGTTTTGAGAACCCGAACAGTATCATCAATGTTGGTGTCCATATCCCTCGGAGGGGGATCAAACTTTTCCTCATCCTCCTCGGGGACATATTTGTTAGAGCCTCTTCTATGTCTAGTTACCCTAAGGAAGGGGTGTTCACCCAATACCCTTTCGGGTTTCGGATGTGTAATATGGATATCCTACCCTATGTTTTTTTACTTAGATATTTTCGGGTTTTATTGTATTTCGGGTAGGGCGGGTTCGGATCGGGTATCGGGTTTAGTCGGTTTCAAGTTTCAACTAAAATAATTTGAAATTGCAAAATAATTTGTATTTTCAACACCAGTAAATCTAAAATATTACAATTGCAAAACATAATTTGATTCCCATACGGCCATAAATAATGTGAATATTACAAAGTAAAGAGTATGGGGGATCAAAATTGTAACAAAGAGTTTTAGCATATTACAAATTACAGATTACTGAATTACACAGTTCATTAATCATTAACATACAAAGTTCCAACTAGTCAAGTACACAAAAATGCAAAAACGCTTGAACACTTTGAAGTTCCACAACTATCTTCCACAGTTTGAAGTTTCCACCTGCATAAGAAAGTTAATGAACACATGGAAAGCAATAGACATGTAGTAGAGTAGTACAATATGTCAATAACAACTTAACAAGGATAAGTTAATGAAACAAATCAGAGAAATCATTGATTCAATGACTCAGAATGCTTGTTATCCTTCACAAGGAATATAGGGGCAACTGCTACAATTTCAGTTAAAACTTACATGTTATGAACTGAAAGAGCTATACCAACCTTAAACCATACATTCAGTAATGTGTGGAAGCTTCATCATAGACAATGAAAATTAATAGAAATGATAGAGTAAAGGATTAATGGGATTATGAGATACTTACACAAAACCTGCAAATCAGAGCAAGGTACAAGGGTCCAGGGATAGTTGGCACTTGGCAGCATGTGCATGCTTTCCAGAATGACAGAATCATGCTCATTCAAATGTAACAAGCGCATAATAGTGTAATACATTATACTCATATTGGCAGCAGGTTCAACACCAAATCATATAGCAATGTACTCATGTTTCATACACATTCAAATGGATAAACAAGCATATAATGGCACAAATCAGACATTTCATAGAGCTCGGAATGCTTATTATCATTCAAAAGGGAAATAAGGGGCATCTGTTATAGCCTACCATTTCAGTTACAACTTACAAGTTACCATTCATGAACTAAAAGAGCAATATCAACCCTAAACCCTATATGCAGTACCAGTAATGAGTGGAAGCTTCATCATAGCCAATGCCAAATCATAGAGTCATGTATTCATGTTCATACACATTCAAATGAAAAAACAAGAACATAATGAAACAAACCAGGCATTTCATAGAGCTCAGAATGCTTTGTATCATTCACAAGGGAAATAGGGGCATCTGCTACAATTTCAGTTGCAACTTACCATTTTATGAACTGAAAGAGCAATACCAACCCTAAACCCTATATGCAGTAATGAGTGGAAGCTTCATCATAGCTAATGCCAAATCATAGAGTCATGTATTCATGTTCATACACATTCAAATGGAAAACCAAGCACATAATGGCACAAATGCACAATATAAATATAGAAATTGTACACTTAATGGCACAATAGAGGATCCAGTAGGAGCAACATCTCCACCACCAACATTTCCATCCATTATTTCTATAACAGATAAACAGAATTGTTAGAATTTTGAAATTTAAACAATAAGCTTCAGAATAAGCAAATAATACATGAAAATACATTGAACTTATACCTTTTTCCAGCCTCTCTACTTCATCAATGTTTTCTTCAACTGAGATAGGCTGGTGAGCCATTCTCAACCAATCTTGTGCACATATAAGGGCTTCCACAATTTTACAACTTAATGAACTCCTAAAACAGTCCAAAACCCTACCACTTATACTGAAAGTGGACTCAGAAGCAACTGTGGAAATGGGAACACCAAGTACATCCCTAGCCATCTTAGAAAGTATAGGAAACCTTTCACTATTTAACTTCCACCATATTAGAATATCAAAGTCCCCATCTTCCTCAATTATGGACTCAGCTAAATATATATCAAGTTCAGATTTTTTAACTCCTACCTGACCACTCTCAAGCTTCTTCTTTTTAAGATCAGCCTTAAACCTGGACACAGGCCTATTTTCAGAATTACCACACTCCATAGATGCTCCAGAAGTAAAAGTTGTATTAGAACTTCCACCAACACAGTCAGGGTAACTTGAAACATAATCAACAAATAACTCAGTTAGACCTGACTTCACTTTTAGAAAAAAATCAGCACCTTTATTATCACCATATAAAGCATTTAGCTGAAATGGCATATACTCAAACTTGTCCCTAGGATCTAAGACATTAGCATAGAAGATTAGATAGTTCATCTTTTCAGGATCACCCCAGTACTTGTCTAGTTTGGATTTCATAGTACTCCCCATGGCACTGACAGAAGCAGTTGGAGAGGCAACCATATCTTTGAGGACAAGGAACAAGTCAGAAATTTCAGAAAAAAAGGTATTGGAAGTAACATATAGTGAGCCTGAAATTCTTAGTGTCATTTCATAAAAATGTTTTAGAATGGTCACAAAATATTCAATAGCAATCCAATCTAAAACATCAGGCATGTCAGAACCCAAATCAGTACTATATGCAGATTCATTCTCCTCATAGGCTTCAAACACTTTCTCATTACAAACTGCAGATTTTAGCATCAGGTAAGTGGAATTCCACCTAGTTGGAACATCCAGGTGCAGACCACTCTTGGCTTCCACTCCTATCAAATCAGATATATCTTTGAACTTTTGAAGCCTAGCAGGTGAGTTCCTAACATACTTAACAGCTTCCCTAACTCTCATGACTGAAGTGTCTGAATCTTTAAGACCATCTTGTACTGCTAAGTTCAAGATGTGTGCAATGCAACACATATGAACATACTTTACTTTTACAGAAGAAGCACTCCAGGCTACTAATTTTTTCTTGAAAAAACCAACAGCTGTATCATTACTACTAGCATTATCAACAGTCACAGTAAAAATACTTTTCAGACCCCAATCAAGTAAGCAATTCTCTAGGGCTTTAGCAAGGTACTCCCCTTTGTGAGAGGTGACAGGGACAAAGGAAATTATTTTTTTCTGGAGCTTCCACTGATGATCTATGAAATGAGCAGTAATGCACATGTAATTTATCCTCTGAACAGAGGTCCATGTATCAGTAGTTATACTAACTCTCTGAGTTTGTTCCCTAAAATTCCTTTTTAGAGTCATTTTTTCATCAAGGTATATTTGAAAAATGTCTCTAGCAATTGTCCATCTAGAAGGAATTTGAAACCTAGGACAGGCTGCAGCAACAAAATTCCTAAAACCTTGTCTGTCTACAAATCTAAAAGGAAGCTCATCAATGATTAGCATTTCACCTAGAGCTCTCCTAATAGCTTGTTGATCAAATACCCAAGTTCCCATGA